AATCATTTCGTACGTAGACCTTTTTTTTTTTTTTTTTAAGTCAGGAAATTTGCCAACCAAACTTCGCGTCCTGACCCTTGAGGGAGAGCCAGGAGGCTTCGTGGCGGATTCCCGTCCGTAGTATCCCGAAGGACTAGCGGACGGGGTACCAGCCTAAAACCTGACTATAGCCCCTGGTCTTTGACGGGTATTGTCCACCGCGGACCGCAAACGCATTACTTCACGGTGGACACCCATGACCTGGTCCTGTTAAGGACGCATCCCGGGCAACTTGAGGAGTTGACCCGTTCCAATACCCTCACCCCGAGAGGGTAAATAGGGGGGAGCCGGGCTATCAGCTCACCCCCCGGCCATCCCGAGACCGACGTGCAATGGGATTGGAGCCCCCACTCCTTTCCCTGCCAGCCTGGTTGGCGAGATGACCGCAGCCATCAAACCCCACATGTATTGACGTCACAGACATCACCAACTCAATGTGCACAAAACATGTACACAATCCACAATGAGACAAGATAGGGGCCACAGGCCCAGCCCTCGAGGGGCCAACATCGAAGGCCCAATGGCCAACCACATATAAGATGGAAGGAAGATGTACACTTCCATCTGCAAACCACGGACAAAGAGACGCAGACACGTCAAAGACAATTTAACAGAGGGCGTAACCGGACCTGCCGGCCTCCAATAAAGGAGACAAAATGCAGGCCGCAGCCCTCATAACAACAGTGGACTAGGATAAAAGACTAATAACAGAGGGCGCATCCGAACCAGCCGCGCCCCATTACAGGGCGAATTGCCGGCCGCGGCCCCCATAACCACATTAGACGATGACAACAACGCTAAAAGACATTAATCAACTGCTGAGGCAGCCTCAACCTCCATAGGCCGTCCCCCATCAGGACGACCCGGAGCCTGGCGCCCATCGCGCACCCCGGTATTTCGTTGCCCGGGTGAAGGGGGGAGCAAACCACACCCCCGTCCACCCAGGACATGGTCAGCCAACCCCCCACCGTCCGCACAAGTCGGACAGCGGGGAGTGGCGACGCAACCCGCCGCTCGGTGACCCCCGACACCACACCGGTAGCAGAGGCCCGACCGGTCAACCTCAGAAGTGCACCTAGCCCGCGCATGGCCAAACTCAAGGCACCTAAAGCATCTCAGAGGGCGGGTAGGAAGCAACTCTACTTCGAGAGTGTTCCACCCCACCCTCAGCCCCCCAGACGACAATGCCGCCCGGCCCACGGATGCCGGGCAACGCACCCACAAGGTGCTCAAAGAGGACCGCGGCAGAGACCGGATCTCCCCAAGCCGTATGGCCCCCGCATCGCACCCCCCCAGAGACACAAGTGCCCCCAGAATTTCTTCGCGTGTGGCGATTCCCTCCCCCATAGTCCCGCGGAGCCTAAGCTCCACGGTTTTCCGGGGGAGAGAAACCACCACATCCTTCCCTGCGAAAGTCTCCTTCAGCCTATCCGCAAGGAGACCTGCCCTACTTTCAGCGCCCCTCCCAGGGACCCGCAAAAGTAAACCCCCAGCGACGCCGAAACGCATCGACATCGGGCCGATACCAAATTTCGCAGGGTCAACGGACATCCGCGCCTCAGACAGGACTTCCGCATAGGACCTGCTCCCCGTCGACAGTAACCGTACCGTCGCCGAATCCGGTCGACGCACAGCCCGCGGGCGCCTCTGGCGAACAGTCACCCTAACGCGATCCACCGCAGTTTCACTCGGAGCCAGTGCCACTCCAGGGCCCGAGACCATCGCATCCCCATCAGCAGCAGTAGCCGCCGACAGAGCGGGCAATCCCACCCCAGAGGGACAAACCCCCTTTTTACTCTCGCGACCCCGCCCACCCCGCGTACGCGCAGAGAGAACAGGGGAGACCCTCTTGACCAACGGAGCAGAGGCAGACGAACCTACCCCACTCCGCCAGGTATCCAATGAGGACCTGAGAGACTCTACAGTCCTCCTCAGGTCCTCAAGCACCCCAGAGATACGCTCCTTGATGAGGAGGTCCACCCGCGCTGACAGCTGCAGGTGTGGATCCTCCTCCGAAGCCGCCTCAAAGGAGGACTCAAACAGAGTCCTCCGCACCTCAGAGGCGGTCTCTTTGCCGGAAAATTCCGGCTCAGAGACCGCCTCTCTATTTCGCCTCCGTCGCGACCTCATTTTTGCAGAGAGCGCCCCCTTCTCCCCGGAAGAGGGAGGAGGGGGAGCCGTCGCACCACGCACAGCCTTCAATTCCTCACGGAGTTCCTGGTTGCTCGCCTCCAATTCACCAATGCGCCCCTCGAGTTTTCGGATTTCTTTTCCGCGTAAGCCCGGCAGTTATCCGACAGGAACTGCTCCCCGTCGCAGATTTCTACCGGGCTATGAAAAATGCCAGGCTCCGACACGTCAAGCGCGCCATCGGACCTCCCGGGGGAGGCAGAGGCAGCGCCCGACGCACCGTCGCCCAGCAAACTCACCTCGTTGGTCACGTCCCGCGGCGAGTCGCTCCGAATCGCCTCAATCACCCCGCCAAGATCTCGAGAGCCAGAGTCCTCGAAGCGCTCCTCTTTTATGGGCTCCAGGACGGGAAGGTCGTCCGATCTCCCGCGATCAGAGGACCGGGGTCCACCACTACGGGTCACCCACCTCTTCTCAGCGTGAGTTCGAAGATCAAACTCCGCAAGCCATTTTTCCTCATCCTGTTGGGACAACCAACCAATCCCCAATCGAGGTAAAACTCTTTCGCTCGCCAGGTTGATAAGGATGCACTTATGTGCAGCACACCACTGGGTAGAATTTGTGGCGCAGCACCCCAAGAATAGTCGGCAGAAAGCCAGCATCCTCTCATATGGCTCTCTCCCACGGAAACAACGAGCCTCCCTCGAGCCAACAAGAGCCACCATATCAAGCACCAGGTCACGAGGATCAGCCCCGATGGCACGATTCTCGAACCTGGCCTGCATCGCTCTCAGCCGGTCGTCTACTTCTTTCAACGGCGCTGTCGTATTCCTATCCGCGGACCCAGCCGGCAAATCCGCGGACGACCTGTCGTATGTTGACGACATGGAGGGAGCCAGGCCTACACCCCCCCCACGCCGGTTCCCAGTATCCGAACCTGGGACGTCTTGGTCTTTCTTGGAGCTCCTCATGTCTGTAAGAAAGAAATTGGTTTTTTCTGTCAGGGGTTTTCCTTCCCCTTAGGAGGTTGCCTTACTCAGCTAACGGGGCCTCCCCCCCGGGTGTTATCTTCGGTGTTTTTCTTCACCTAGTGCAGTGGACAAGTCCTTTTTAGGGCCTGCACGCCCATCGCACCTCGCTCATCCATCACCACACATTCCAGCTCGGGTACCTCGGGATTGCGACACCCGTACACTACAGGGATGAGTCTGTAGTGCCCCTGAGGGATCGTACGTAGACCTTGAAAAAAATGTCTGTTTTTTTTTTTTGATAATTTATTTGGAAGTCGGCTACTAAGTGTAAATTTCAGTTTTCGAGGTTAGGTAAGCCGTCGTTGCGCCGCCATTATGGAAAACGTTACTAAAACGTTTTTTCTAAATATCTCGCTTTCAATGCCTTGTACGCTAAAAATAGTTATTAGTAAACGTATTTATAATTAAATTATCCACAACTTTTGTTTAAAACTTTTTTTTGTAGTATAAATATTATAAAAGTTACAGCACGGCAAAGTTTCCTGAGCGACTTTTTGAAACGATTTATACGAAATATCTTGCTTCAGATAAGTTTTATGGCAAAAGTACTTCTTAACGAATTTGTTTATAAAAATTCTCTACAAGTTTTGTCTAAAACTTTTTTTCACAACATCAATATGTTAAAAGTTACAGCGCGACAAATTCTAAATGAAATTCAAATTCTAAAGAGGGAGCTCTCCCCCCCTCTCTCTCCTCTCTCTCTCTCTCTCCCCTCTCCCTCTCTCTCTCCCTCTCTCTCTCCTTCTCTCTTTCCCTCTCTCTCTCTCTCTCCCTCTCTCTCTCCCTCTCTCTCTCTCTCTCTCTCTCTTTCTCTCTTTTTCCTCTTCCTCCCTCCCCTCTCACTCGTCTCCCTCCCTCTCTCTCTCTCTCCTCTCTCTCTCTCTCTCTCTCTCTCTCTCTCTCTCTGCTTCTTCGGTTGAGATACGTAACCCTAAGCAAAATCGCTCGCCGAAAACGCAAAAATCGCTAAACAACAAAAAGAATATAAATAAAAGTAATTCGCGGGACGGGTGCGAAAGTCGCATCCTCCTACACGAAAGAAAACGCAAAATTATTTTTCGGGTGCTCTCTCTCTCTCAAGGGTTGGCGAGAGAGCAAAGGTTCCCAAATTTCCCGCCTTCCCGGCGGGGCCTTCGGTCCTTGTGACGGACAAAAAAATGTCACGTCACAGTGTATAGTCCTATATAGTATAGTAGACCCAGCAAACACCAAGTAACAATTATATAACTAATAGTTATAATTTCCCACTCAACAATATAAATGCAATATAACACACGTAAGTGGGAAATTATAACTAACAGTTATATAATTGTTACTTGATGTTTGCTGGGGACAGACAATTTCTCGCATAGCTATCGACGACTCGTCGTCCTCGGTAGTCTCGTCTTCTCTCCTGCACTGGCAGATGAATCTTGTGCACTCTTCTATTAGAAAAAAAATCAAAACCGGATACCGTGATACATTACCGTGATATATGAAATAATACTGACTTTATCTAGTGAGATAATTAAAATGCAATACGTGTAATTATCAATATTAATAGTAATTGTGCTAAAATCTGATCGATTTTTCGATATTTTGCTGAGAAACAAAATAAGATAATTTAATTTTATTATACTTTGCACTTGACACATTTTATTGCAATTAATACAAAAGCAAAGGTATATGTAGAAATATAATATGACATTTTTTAATTATTGAAAATTTAAAACTTATATGAAAAATTATAAACTATATTGATATCTAATTATTCTAAAATGTATAGGTATTATTGTTACCTGAAATAATGAGAGTAGCAAAATGTTTGCATTTGTGTGTTCCGTGCTTCTCCTCGTCATTTCATCATCGAATTCGCAGGAAAATTCCACCAACATAGATGATTATTTGACGATGCGATACGAGATATATACGGATTCTACAACATATTATAACAACGAAACAATAACACTTCGACATGATTTGCATAAAAAGTTTATGAATAATACACAAAATGACAAAGAATTTTATACGAATGACAATCGCGAAGATAATGACTTGATTCAACATAAACGTTACAAGCATTCAATGCAGAATAAAGATGATGAGCAAAACTCGATGAAATCTAACACAAATTCGAATAATGTTAATCATAAAAGGAATTTTATGCCGCAGGAAGTTCATGAAAATGTAATTGAAAAAAATGATTCCATGTCACTTGAAGTCTTCAAAAATTCCAGCAAAGATGCTAATGAAACTAACATTGTCCCAAACGAAATGTGTCATAATGATACTTGCATTCGGCTCTGCTGTTTTCTTGGCGCTCGTCTGGTTGGTAAGAACTGCATTCCTGAAAAAATTGAATACATTTTTCCAAACGTATACACGAACGATTCGACGCAGAGCGAAAAGAAGGTGAACGAATGGTTTCAGCTGTCTATTTATGATTCGTGCCAGGAAGATCACGTTCTGCTTTCCGAAGGTGTTCAGGACGATTATAAAATTTTTATCAACGGTTCTATATATTTAACTTATTCTAAAATATTTGTGGAATCGACATCATATTGTCTCGCTGTCGTCGACGGAAGTGAGTTCAAAGTAAGCATCTGTTCCAAAACATATGACAAGATCAAGGACATAATTGATAAAAAGTCCTTGATTTCTGACAATGAAATTATTAACATAAGTGCCGATATTGTATCTATATTACTTTTGGGATCAGTATTTCTGGTGTATTCCATATTGCCAGAACTTCGAAATGTACACGGCTTCATGTTGCGCAATTACAGCGGTGCCTTGTTTGTTGCACACGGAATTAGCATTGTGTATATTTTGATTAAATCGGATGATGTACAGTATCCCGTCTGCGTTACAATGGGTAGAGTATATATCTAAATCATAAAACTATGCAATCAGTATAGCGTATATATATTTGTATATATATTTAATGTATATTAAATATTGCATAGGTATTAAATTTGCATATTAAATATGAATTAAATGTTATTTGAATATATTATTTGTTAAAATCTTATAAATGCAAAACAGTGAATATTTAAATTTTATTTAAATGCATTTTAATATAAAATTAATAAGAGTTATTCGTCTCAAATAGATATATTTCTTTGTGTTTTTAAATTTTGCATAATTATATATTGAAGTAATTCTGCAAAATTTAAAAACACAAAGAAATATATCTATTTGAGAATATATCTATTTGATTCAATATTTAAACATGTTTAATTTGATATTAGCAGTATTTATTACTTAACTTTATAATAACTTTATAGATAACTTTGAAATCCTCCAATTTTAACGAATAATGATAAATAATATTATTTATTAATAATATTTATTACATATATTTTATTATATAATATATTATTATTTATGAATAATATAGAAATAAATAAAGAGCAGCTAGGAAATAGATCAAAAGAGCAACGCGAAGTAATTATGTCACAAATACAAAATTCCTTTATTTAATAAAAAAGAATATTTTTATTAAATAAAGTTGTATTTACGACCAAATTATACTTCGCGTTGCTCTTTTGGCCTATTTCCTGCTTCTTATTTATTTCTCAACTATAAAAGCAAATTACATATTACATTTATATTTATATTAATAATATTGTATATTATTGGTCACTATTTATATTTCGGGAATTGGCAACACTGATGTCATGTGAGTCCATCTGACGGTTCCATCGTAAAGTTTGACATTTTTGACGATATACGTACTCAGAACATTTTGTCATACGGACGCTATTTGTTTATTTTATATTTAGTTGAAAGTTTCGTCTCGGCAAAAAATGGAACTGAATCGTGAACATTTTCGTGCGATGATTTTTTACGACTTTCGACGTGGATTATCACAACAAGAGTGCGTCAATCAACTTAATTTGACTTTTGGCGATGAAGCTCCATCAAAAACCACTGTGTATCGCTGGTATAGTGAATTCAATCGTGGTCGTAGTTCGCTGTCCGACGAGTTTCGTGAAGGTCGTCCAAAATCGACTGTAGTGCCAGAAAACATCGATGCTGTGCACGAAATGATTAAGCAAGATCGTCATGTAACCTATTGTGAGATTGAGGCATCCCTAAGCATTAGTTCCACCAGCATATATGCGATTTTACATGAACACTTAGCTGTGCGAAAGTTATGTTTGCGTTGGATCCCACATAATTTGACAATCGCTCAAAAAAAGGCTCGTGTCGATTGGTGCAAAGAAATGCTTAAGAAATACAATCGCGGTGCTTCAAAAGACGTTTATAAAATCGTGACAGGTGACGAATCATGGATATATTTGTATGAGCCCGAAAGTAAGCAGCAGTCGACTGTATGGGTGTTCCAAGATGAACCAAATCCAACAAAAGTTGTTCGCGCACGAAGCACTTCAAAGAAAATGGTGGCCTGTTTCTTCGGAAAAACTGGTCATATTGCAACAGTGCCTCTAGAGGATCGTAGAACAGTAAATTCTGAGTGGTACACAACCATCTGTTTGCCAGAAATCTTCGGTGAAATAAGGAAAACAAACAAGAGACGTCGGATTGTTCTTCATCATGACAATGCGAGCTCTCACATATCGGCTCAAACAAGAGACTATTTGAGCACTCAAAACATCGAATTGATGGGTCATCCGCCGTACAGCCCTGATTTGGCACCCAATGATTTCTTTTTGTTCCCATCCGTGAAGAATAAACTGCGTGGTCAACGATTTTCATCGCCCGAAGAAGCTATGAAGCGTTCAAAAATCATGTTTTGGAGATACCTCATTCGGAATGGAATAAATGCTTTGAAAATTGGTTTAAGCGCATGCAAAAGTGTATCGATCATCGTGGCGAGTACTTTGAAAAACAATAAAAATATATTTGCAGCTTAACTATTTGTTTTTGTTCCTATTCCCGAAATATAAATAGTGACCCTATTATTTATTAATTATTACAGCCTTTAATTTTATTCATTTTTACAGCCTTTTTAACATACTTTTGTTATATGGCGGGTTCCTTTTGGCTAAATATAATAAGCTTTGATATGTGGTGCACATTTAGGTAAGTTGGAAAATATTCTATATTGTTACTACTTATTTTTAACACTTGCCTTTCATTTATCTTTCTAAAATTCTTTTTTTTGATTTTACATATATCAGTTTAAAGATAAAGATAGAGAGAATATATAATATGCAAAAATCTGTATTAATCGAATTTTCTTATAAGTATATATTGTATTGGTACGTGCAAAAACAGCTATATTTAACTTAGGACATTATTAGTTAGAGTATATAGATAATAGGTTGAAATTATAATTTAAAATAAATAGTTTTCTTGGAGATTTTAATTGATTACAGATTTTTAAACGGTTAATTTTTTAAAAGTAAAAATAGCGTATTAGATATAATAAGCATATTATATATTTAATGTAAATATGCATAAAATATTATAACGAAACCTAATAATTGTATATAATGCAATAAAATTTTGATTTAATCTTTTTCTCTTTTAATTTATAAAATAAAGCAATACATGATAACTTTTTACAAAATAAAAATATATTTTTTATCAAAAATTCGTCTCTCAAAAGTAAATAAAAATATAAAGTATTATTGTCGTGTCTGCATAATAATTATGTAAATATACACTCCTTAAAATAATTAAGGCATAAAAAAAAAAAACAATTGTCTAAAAATAGGCAAACTTTAAATAGTTGTAACTTTGTTTCGAATAATGAGAATTTAAATTTTAAGAAAGAGTTTTAAAGCTTGAAATCTCTATTTTTAATGGTTTACAGCTTTTTCCATTTTCTTCAATTTTGATATTTTTTATATACAAAAAAAAAACATAACCAAATGGAAAATTTTTTCTTACTTTGTAGACGTGTCGTACGCACAAAAAATTTGAAAAATTTTTTGACATTTCCATGTTACAGCCTGAAACCTTTTCCCTGTAAAATTGTTTTTTAAAATGTAAATGTCGATCTTTCCTTATCAAGTTATCGCAAATTGAAGAAAAAATGTCATTTTCAGTTTAATCGTTTATAACACCGTTAAAAATCATCGTACAGCAATTTTAAAAATAGATTTTTCAAGTTGAAACTTTGTTCTATAGTATGATATACTGACTTGATCAAAGACACATTATTTTAACGTTTTTATTCTGATTTCTTTTATCTATTGTTTGTTAAATGTTGTGTAAATTGCAGAGGATTCTGTTCGTTACAAAGAAACGTTAGACAACGAGAAAAAAGAAAGTTGATATATTATACGATCTTTGCGTGGGGATGTCCCTTTATGTTTGCTGTTTTCTGTGTCAGCATGGATTTTCTTTCCGAGTATGTACCATCGATTTTGCGACCGGAATTTCATTTAGGAGATTGCTGGTTCAGTGGTAAGTAAAGATAACTTTGTTAATGCTATAGCATTTTAGTATTATGAGAAATAATATAAAAACTCATGATATTTTATACTTAGAGAATAATTCGTATTTGTTGTATTATTATGGACTCGATAGTATATGTATCCTGAGTAGCATTTGTTTATCTATTTCTACGGCATTAAAAATTGAGCGTTACAAAAAGGATACTGGTCATCGTCTGAAAGATTCGGAAAGCAAGTGCTATAATGATAATAAAAAATGGTATGTATTCATATATCGTTGCATTGAAATATGATAATCTATTTTATCAATAAAATGTATGCTATACTTATATTAACATTTATGCAAACAGCACCGCATAATTAATTGCTTTGCATTTTTTTTATAAAAGAGGGGAATAGGCTGGTATTAATAATTAATAGTCCGATCGTATATTTAATTTTAAGTTTGAGCTTGATTGGTTGAATGAAATTTTAAGTTAATATCAGATTTAATTATGAATACTGACCATAGATTGTCATTTGCAGATGACATTTTTTCTATTCACCGATTCACTTTTTTTATATTTTGTAATATTTTTAAGAATATATATCATTTTACGTGTTTTTTCAAGAATATATGCAATTCTAAACAAAATTACAATTAATAACGAAAATCAAATTAATGACTGCACCTGTATTTTACAAATATACAAATTTTAAACACTTTCAAAAATTTCTTAATGTTTATACATTAATCAAATTTTATTTGTCATATATATTCACAAGAACTATAAAAATTATATATTTGTTTGCAGGTTTAATCTATATCTGAAGCTTTTTATCATGCTGTTTATCTTAATAGGCATAAAGTGGCTCATGATAACAGCATACGCATTATCTGAAAATGTATCATTTTACAACTCGTATGTTATTAATTTTCTGGACATTATGCAGCATCCATGCACCTTTATCATATTTGTGTGGAAAAAAAGGATCAAGCGCATGTTATTCAAGCGATTCGGCTGCAATTTGTTGCCAAAAGCTTGACACGGATCGAATGCAACACTGCCGAGCATTATTACCACGTCAAAAGAAATACTCATGCAGGAGAAAATGATTTCTTCCGGACAAGCAAGAAGTCACACTGATAGGACCGACCTTTAATTTTTATTTCAAAATTAAAATCATGTTTTTTTATGGTGGTCTTTATGTTTAAGATTATTAATTATAATTCACACATATTTTCGGATTTTGTAGAACAAAGACATATTATTTTGTCCCGTTTCTTTTTCAAATTCAACCTAGCGAGAAATGACTTATCGAATTGATGTCAAATCAACGTCGAAAACATATATCGAAAACTAAATAATATATCATCAATTTTGATTGATTTATGTCACAACTTTTGATGAGTTATCGACTCAGAATAAATCAATTTCAACTCAATATTGATTATTTTTTCCTCACTATCCAGCGAGAAATGATGGTCAAATCGACATCGATTCGTCGGCGAATAAATGTCAAATTGATTGAATCGATGTCAGTACGACCAATCATTTCTCACTAGAATTCCAGTGAGAAGATGATGATCGAATCGATGTCAAATTCGTCGAATCAATGTCGAATCAATGACGATTCGACCAATCATTTCTCACTGGGATAGTAATTATATATTTAATTAAGAAGTAAGAAAATATAAATCTTTTTCTTGTATTATATACATTAAGTAAAATTAATTTATTTATATTTTACTATGTTTAATACTATTCGTAAAATACATTAAATATTGTTGTTTTGTTAGAAAATGCAATTCAATCAACATTTGTATATATTGATTTACAATAGATATAATCAAAATTACCTTATATTGATTAAAATTAAACTATTAAATTGCAAACATTAAATTATAACTGTTAAATTACTAATCTAGTCTTACTAAATATGATTGAACATAATACCTTTATAGAAATTTATCACTAGTAACGCCAATTAATCACTTATTTCGAGTACTTAAAATATTGATTGTTGTGTGCCTCGGGAGAGACACTTAAGGGTCGCGCCAAATTGGGATGGGAATCCGGGGCGTCAGGACTTGTCGGGTGTTTGTAGAGAAATGCACTACACTTTTTGTATTAAAATTCTTTATTCAACTTCAACCACTTGGTCTTTATTTTATTTCACTATCAATACACTGAAGCTTTACGAGTGTGCGGCACTGACTTTATATTACTCCGCGTATCGCGCACAACTGCGAGTCGATGCTAAGTGCGCGCGCGGTTAGCGAGATCGTGGTTAGAGCGATTATTTGTGTCTGCGACTGAGCGAGTTGTCGCGTCTCTACTCTCTTTTTATATCGTTGTTTTTTGGAGTTTTTCCCGATCGGAAGGGGTGCCTGGCAACAGGTTTCCCCGGTCGAGAATCTAGGTGCAAGCGAAGCAGATTCAAAGTCCTTCTGCTTTGCTTGCACGTTGACCAATTTCTGTTCCGCGTATATCTCGCATTGTATGCGTTTTTAACGCGGTCATTATCTGTCGTAATTCTGATTTCGCGTATACCTCGCATCGTATGCGCTTTTTAACGCGGTCATTATCTGTCGTAATTCTGATTCCGCGTATACCTCGCATCGTATGCGTTTTTTAACGCGGTCAGTGTCTGTCGTAATTGCGGATGCAATACGAGTACCCATTTCTTAATATTAGTTAACTTTTAATAGTTATATCTATTGTATATCTTTGGGGGATATAACATCCCTCCCCCGTTAAAGAAGAAAAACGAAGGCATGAAGTTTTTCGCTTACAACTAAAACTTACAAATGTTTATCCCGTTCACAATATAATTATAATCGTTTCCTATTTCCTAAAAACGCGTACTATTACTCCTTTTTAATATAGATCTAGGTACATCCCAGTCATCGTCGAGTATCGTCACTCTTGGTCTTCTTTTAATGTCTTTTCTATTTTTTACTTTCCAAATTATAATGACAATGATAAATATTATAATTATGATTATTACTAACCCGCTCGAGGTCATGGGATAAATAAATTGTTTTCTTGTATAAAACTTTTGTTCATTATCCTGTAAATCATTGTCTATGTTGTTTATTTTCGTTCGTAATTCTATTAGTTCTGCGTTGTTTTGTGTTAGATTATTTAATGTGTCGAGTATTCTCATGTCCTCGTCTTGTGACGGTGCAATATTAAAATTCGGCAAATATGTATCTATGTTCGTTACGTAAGTCGTCTCTTTTGTCTCCAATGTCATATCCTCCGTTTTAATTTGACAGTTTCCTCGTGAGGTTAGTCGGCCGGTATTTTTTATTACTAAATTTTTTTCTGTGTATCCGTCACATTTTATATTTATTTTTTCTTCCTTAGCTGTTGAGTACAACCATGTGTGTGTTTGATGTAACGGGATCCATACTGTCGTTTTCGTTACCCGATAGCGTACCTTGCATTCATGCTTATCTTGCATTCGTTGCGTATACATTTGTAATTCGCACGGTATATTCGTGTTTACGCGATAAGTCGGCATGCTATGTTCGCATATATAATTAGAGTTTATTTTACTACATTTTTGTAAATCCTCATTTGTTATAATTAAATATGTTAATCTAAGGTTATCTATGGCAAACATATTGTTTTCTACTTGTATACCTTTAAATGTTTTATTGTATGCTGCCACGGGGAATTCAATTGCCTTTATTATGTTATATTTAGGCTGTGATATTATCGGGAACCGCAGTATTGTATATAAATTATATTCTTTGCTTACGTATGCACTTACGCTTGCATGTTTCTTTATTTCATGCCAGTTTACTGCGTGTGTTCTAAACGGAAAATAATATCCCTGTTCTAACTGTGTTGCGGCTTCCTTTAAGTGTGCGACAATGTTATCAAATGGTACTAATTTCGGATGTATATTTCCTTCCTCGATTTGCGCTAAGTATTCTATAATATTTTCCGCGTCCCTAATGGCGTCTGTTAATGCTGCCATAATTATTTCATATTGTCCCTGTATCTTTTCTAACGTAATATATTGCGCTACATTTTCCTGTAAGAGTTTTTCACTCTGTTTTATTGTATTCTCTAACTTACTTATATGTGTTACCGTATCGTTGATTATTGTTAGTTGATGCCTAACTGTGTGTTGTAACGTGCTCTGTCGGTTATTTATTAATTCTAGTTGTTCATTTATGCGTTTTTCGTCATCGGCGTCCATGGTACCGAACAATGTCTTTGCCACTGTTCCTATCCCGTCAATTATTCCCCTACGTTTGTCTGTATGTCTGTCGTAGAGTGTATTTATTTGTATTATCGTTTTTTCCAAATAGTTTAGTGTTTGTTTTGTAATACTAACTAAATTAAGGCATGTGTCTTGTTGCGTTAACACATTGCACGCTTTTTCCGTACGCTCTATATAATTTCGTATGTAACCCTGTTTCGCAGTTAATGTTGCTAGGTCTAGTTTTATTACTAGTTTCCACGTGCTTTTGGAACAATGTAGATGGCCTATTTTTTCAAAATGTATCCCTGGTTCGTTGGTGAATTCCTCGAGTTCGTATGGCTCTTGGCTTGACCGTCTTAATGTCGCTGCGTTGGCATTGAATATGATCATCCTGTAATATATATATAATTCCCCTTACTATTTTATACTTTTGTATGCAATTTTTTATCAAGAAAGCGGAGCATTCGTTTTTTATATCTTCTGTCGTTTCTTCAGTCTTAGGACAACTTTTGTTACGTGCGGCACGACATATTAACATGTATTTTCGTTTTAATTGTATTAGATGCAATGCTTATTCGCATTTGGACGATTTGTTGTGTCCTTACTGTCGCGCCCGCGCCCCTGTTGTGGGGCCCGAAATAACGGGGGACGAGTATACCCGGGCGTACGATGTGGTGCTCCGGTGGGCGAATGTGTCCCGGAGGGCGGGTGAGCCGCATTCTTTGCACGTCACCCTTGATACGCGCACCGATACGCGAGTAGTGCGTGAAGTGGTGGTTTTGGTGGGGACGACCAGCCTTGACCGATTCGCGATACCGGAATAGGTAAGTCTCAATTTTCGATAAATAATTTTAGTCTGTTTGTGTGTATGCGTATTGTTCTTCTTCCTTTCTTTATTGTGTAGTTGACGTCGGAGTTCTTTTCGATTATTGTATACGGTCCTGCCCATAAGGCGTCAAGTTTCTTTGATCGTCCGCGTCGTAGCGTATCGTCGTATATAAGTACTTTATCACCGACTTTAAATTTTATTTCTTTCGCGTCTTTATCATAATATTTTTTCGATTTGATTTTCTCTTCGTTTACGCGATCCTTCGCAATTTGTTGTGTGGCCCTTAATCTTTCCCTAAGCTCTTGAGCGTAATCGTCGTAGCTGTATGTGGCCCTCGGTGGTTTTGTTAATGCCGTCGGTAGGTTGGCCTGATGTCCGTAAATTAATTCAAACGGCGTGTACCCCGTTGCACTGTGCGGGGTCGTATTATAAGTAAACATTGCATAAGGTGTCCATTCGTCCCAGTCTGTTTGATCAGCGTCAACATAATGGCGAAGATACTCTGCTAATGTCCTATGTGATCGTTCGAGTGCCCCATTTGTTTCCGGGTGATACGCGGTTGTTTGTAATTTTTTGATTTTTAACAGTTTACATGTGTCCTTAAATATTTCACTTAAAAAGTTTGTCCCTTGATCTGTCAAAATTTTCTCCGGTATCCCGTGTTCTAGGATTATTTTTGTTACGAACTCCTTTGCGATTGTGCCAGCTTCCTGGTTCGGTATTGGAATCGCCTTACTAAATTTTGTTAGGGTGTCTTGGAATGTTAATAAATATTTACTCCCATTCGTAGTTATTGTTAGCGGCCCTACAATGTCCAACGCACATTTTTCAAATGGCTTATCAGGCGTATCTGTAATTATTAATGGTGCTTTATTTTTCCGCGACAATTTATTTTTTTGACATGACTCGCATTTGGCGATGTATTTCTCGACGTCTTTTGTTAAACCCGGCCAATCATGATCTAAACGAATTCTCTTAATTGTTCTTTCTATTCCCTGATGTCCTCCAATGGGCGCATCGTGATATTCATATAGTATCTGTTGTTTTTCCTCTTCGGTGTACGTCCTTTCATTCTTAGCATCGTTTACCTCTTCTTTTTCTATCTTGCATATACCTTCCGTCCTTTCGCTTG